CTCTGACTCGGTTCAAGTTTGATAATTGAGGGTGTGTACTGTCTAGGGAAAGCAATAATAATGGAATGGACAAGTTGAGACGCCAAGGGTTGAATAGGGGCAGCTATGACAACACAGAAGGACCACGAAAACCATGTGCCTAGTTCTGAGGCCCTAACATGGGTGCAGTCGTATTCCACGCTGCTCTGTCACATTAAAAGGCCACGCCATGGACCAGTTCTTTCCAGTCTTAGTCCAACCTTCCATCACCTGTTTTGGCAAACAATATGGGCTACGTCTGCATAACCAGTAACCATTGCTTGCCTCACAGTTATCACCATCATGCACTTGCCCATCACTCGCAATTTCCCTCTTTCGTACGCGTTAGTTTAGTTCATTACCCTCCTCTCCTATATTAATTAACACATGGACAACAAAACATTGGCGTTGAATCTTTATACTATATACATACAGGGAAATTGGTCGGTCGTCTCGCTATTAATTGTAATGATCAACTCTTGCATCCTATCACAGTGACTTTTGGACTACAATAATTCACTTCATACTGTTACTGTTTCTGAATCCGATTGCAACTTGCATTGTCTATATGTACATGTCACACCTAGTTGACAAACAATGATGACTCCCTCTAGCCCTACCAATTATCTAAATTTGAATGTAATTAATAAATAATTAAGCGTTGTGATGGGGAAGAAAAGATTTGTAGTTTTTTGAAAGTTGTTAATATATTGGAGTATGAAGGAGATTGGAAGTGATCGAATAGGATGGCATGGTGAGGGAGTGGTTGTTGGAAATTGATGGTCTGACGTGCGTGACGAACAACGATCACCGTGAGCTTGAAGTGTTGTGATGAAACCGACGCAGTCCGCGGCACAAGAGTGGTTGGGTTGACACTCCACTATGAATGCACTAGCTTAGCACTACTCCATTGTTATGATAGTAGTGAATTGCCACAACCTAACCCACCGCACGTGTCTCCATTTATAGCATTCACCCGCACGCGCATGCAAGTGCAATTGTGCAACTCCTCACTAGTCACTACCCCACTCCTCCCAATTTTCTTACTTCCATTTCCTCCAATAATCAAACCACACTCCCATAAAAGGAGCTTACAATTTAATATACAATTATATTAATTAATTAATATATATAAGCATGTCCGCTGATTAATGGTACGGAAGAATTAGCATCACAAAAGAAGCCAAAAAATAGGATTGCAAAGCTAAATAAAGAATTACATATGAATATTAAAACACCCTGCTATATCTTCTCTGTTAATCAATCAAATTCCACATACATATATTAAAACGTGAACTCGAAAAAAAAGAAAAAGAAACTAACATGAAAGTTAGTCGTGCATGCACATCAATCACTAATTAAAATCAAGCTGAATCACCCCCCAAATTTATAAATTAAAAAAAAATATACAGCTGGTGATTAAATATACCAAGTCCTTCCTTGGATCTTGTCTTCACTTTGGTTTGGTCTGGTTGAAGGTTAAATTATATAAGAAAGTAAAAAGAAAAAAGAAAAAAGAAAAAGGTAAGATTGGAAGAATTCAGGGGAGATGAAAGAGAGTAGAATTGTCATTGTCAGACCAGTGAGAGTGGGTCCAGTAAGCGTGATCAACGGCGTTAGGAAGGTCGAACAAACCTTGATCTGCGGTGGCGTGCCAATCCAAGGGTCCGAATGCAGCGTGGGGGGGTTTCGCGGAGAAATCAACGGTGTGATCGAGCAAGGAGCTGAATTCCTCGTCACGCTTGGGGTGCTGCCACGGAAACGACGACGCATCGGGGAAGGCGAAGGCCAAGGAGTCGTTCGAAGAAGAAGCAGTGAAAGGCCCAATCTCCGAGAAAATAGCAGCGGAGTCCGTTCCTGAGGGTTGGTCCAGAGGAGTGGTCTCCAAAACGGAGTGTTGCATGTGGCTGTGGCTGTGGCTGTGGGTGGTGGCTGTGGCGGTGAGGGTGGAGCTGTCGCTGCTGGAGCGGTCGGGGTCCGGCGGGGGAGGAGGGGCGGAGTCGGAGGGGGGTTTGGAGGAGCGCTTGGACTTGCGGCAGCCACCGCCGACGGGGACGTTGCGGAGGACGCCGCCCTTGGTCCAGTAGCGGCGGCAGTTTTTGCAGAAGTGGCGGGGCTGGGAGAGGTTGTAGTTGTTGTAGTAGCAGAACTTGGTGTTGAGGGAGTCGCAGCGGGGGCACTTGAGGGCCTGGTGGTTCTGGTGGTGGGGACGGAGCCTCCGGTCGGCGGCGCCGGAGAAGAACCTGGCTCCTCCTATGGAGTGTATTTCCTGCATTGGGTTGGGTTTATGTCACTGACAACACATGTAGTTGTTATGTGTAGAGAGAGAGAGATGAAATATCCTTGGAAGCTGCAACGTAGTACTTGTTTCTAATGTTGTGTTTGGGGATTTGGGTGTGAATTGACCCAACAAGCCCTTTAACATACCCCTATCTACTTTCGCAGCCCAACTCACACACTTATTTAAATATATATATATATATATCTACTACTTCCCATTATTAATATATATTATATGATATATCACTCACTACCTCTCTCATCTTCTATTAACCTTTAAATATTTCATTTTTTTCAATATTTTTTATCATTACATCATTCCAATATGTTTTTACTTTATACAAGTACTTTTTAAATAATTTAACCTTATTTCACATAACTTTTTCTTATAGGGTCAATATTTCTACACCTTAAATTTTAGTTAGAACTACAGGTCACAAATCAATTGTGTTATTTTATCACTAAAAAAAACTATGATTTCTTATGAGAAAAAAACAAAAACTATATGACAACTACTTAAGTTACATTTGAATAAATTTCTTTGTCAACACGTGGAACAAAAACAAAAAATAACTAAGATAAAATAAACTGAGTTTAAATTTCCTTGATAAATAATTTATAAATGTATAAAACTGCAAATTACAAATAAACTAAAGTTGGTATTTGTTTGTCGTATATCATTTGATTAAATATTATATTATAAATCAACTATTAAATTGTAATTAAGAAAATAGCTTTATTATTTTAGAGATGAACTCATATTAAATGTAAATAGTGAATATCTATTATGTGTTCTTGGTCTTTAACAAAATTTAATCACTATTTATTATGATGAATATTTTGTATTAGTATCATGATTACTTGAAAAAATGTTAATGATTATGTTATCTAAAAGTATTTTTGAGGATTATTTTTTAAAAAAATTAGAAATTATTTTAGCTTTTTATCTAAATTAGATTTTAAATACAACATTTATCTTAATATATTTATTATAAAATTCAGTTATATGTAATAAACATGTAGTATGTGATGTGTATGGACTAAAATATTAGTGTATTTATAATGTTTTAGTTTTATTTATTGGATAAAATTATATGGTTCATTTTTTCGAATGGTTTTAATATAAATCAAGTAATTAATAAGTATTAGCAATCTTTATAGTTAATGTTTTGTCTCAGACGTTTGATTTAGGCAAAATGCAAGTATATTATTGTCTTTTCAGTTTTAATCAAATTATGTGTTCTCTTTCTTTATTAGATAAATAAAGTGTAGTGGTCAAAGTATTGATAAACTGAATTCTTTTCCATATAATATGGATATCATCTATCCAATAAAATAGTAAAACTTGTACACCTCAATGTAAAAGTTTAAAAGTTAGCAATTGTCTTTTTCATGACTTTATACTGATACTAAATATGTTAAACCTGTTTTTTTTTTTTTTAATGTGAGGGAATTGCATGATGATGTTAACTTCTTTTATAATTACAAATTTTGATAATCAAATTATTATATGATACAGCAAACATTTGTCAAAAGAATGAAGAAAAAAAAAGTCCAATAATATTATAACCTTCAATTTTTAAGATAAATAGGTTTATTATATGGATAACTAATAATTTATATTATTTTTAATAATAAAGAGTTGGAATAGTATGTGCAGTAGATTTAAATATTATTGTCATCGTTATAATCTATATTTTAAAAAAAAATATATTTATACCACTTCAAATCTAAAAAAAAAAAAATATATATATATATATATATATTAATAGTTTTGTATTGAATTGATTTTTATTGATATAAATTTTATCTATTGAAAATTAAAATACAATATATTATATCAACAAGATATCATTTAATTTCTTACGTGGCAAATTATTTAATATTTAAATTTTAAAAATTTTAAATTCAAATAACATTGAAAACAAAATGAAAAGGGTATTGATATCAATCGCAGTGAGAATTTTTCACTAAAATAATTTTTTTTTAATTTTTTTTTTTTGCATTTTGGATCTGACCATGGTGTAAAACTGGATCCAGAATGGCTCGTTCTCCTTTCGGAACAACCCGTTCTCCATGCAGCAGTTGTAGAAGGGCCCGTTCTCCTTTTAGAACGGGCCGTTCCGGATGCAGAAATACACACATGACACATGGATCAAAACGGTGTTCTGCTTGGACGTTCTAGTTTCAAAATTAACAGACTACGCGTGCAAGCAAAACGGCCCGTTCTGCTTGGAGAACAGGTCGTTCCAATTGTAACATTAACACACAACCTAAACTACAAATAGAAAAATAAAATTAAACACTACTTAAAACTCGATTCCCAGGGAACCGAATTCTGAGCAAAAAAACAAAACAAAAAAAAAATTGAAGTTCAGAATTCGGTTCCCGAGGAACCGAATTATAAGTGTAATCAGTAAAAAATGCTATTTCTGTAAATAAATTGGAACAGGTGCTGTTTTGGCAAAAAAAAAATTAAAAAAATTATTTCAGTAAAAATTTCTCGCAGTGATTGCTGGAAAAATATGATACTGATAGCAATCATGACGGAGATACTAGAGGAATACACGGCGTTGCTGGCGAGAGTGTTAATGAAGAAACAAAGAGAAGAGTACGGAAAGTGCTAGTAAAGAAACAAAAGAAAGAATACAGAAATGAAAAAACGAATTTAAATTTAAAATTTTTAAATTTTAAATATTAAATAATTTGACACGTAAGAAATTAAATAATTTTATCAATAAGCATACAACGACAAATTCTACTGCCTACATCAACATATTTCATAGCTCCCTGCATCCTATCAAAGGTTGTATTTTTCGAAGACAAAATCAACCCTAATTAAAACCATCGTTAACATCAACTGGAACTCCCTTATAAACAACAAGAACAATAAGTACAAGGTGTAAATAAAGAGCATGTAGGCACGATATTAATAACTGTATAACATTATATTATGCAAGGAAATGATATAAGACGACACGGCAGTAATTGTATAACATTTATTATATTATCGTAAAAAAAGTATTTGTACTTCTGTATATTTTAAGTAAAAAATATAAATAAAAATATTTGATTTTAAATATATGCTAATAGTTAACAATTAAAAAATATAAGCGATTTTGAGTAGTTAGGGAGAGAAAAAAATAAGGAAGTATTTTGGAAGTCAGAGTAAAACAATCAATGGAATGTGGACATAAAAAAAAACACATGGCCTTTATTAATAGTGTAAATTTATTATGAAATTATTTATTTTAAAATATATACTTTAAATTAGGTTTTGTATTTATTTTATTTCATAATTTAATTATATATGTTAATATTGATATATTGAATAGCCATACCACAACAAAATAAATTTTTAGTAGCATTTAATATGATTTTTAGTGGCAATAAAAATTGTTACAAAATCTTTTACTGACATTTCACATATTAGTCATTATATGTAGTGTCGCTAAAATATTTATCGGCAATTATTCTATATACGGGTAAAGACCCTCATAATGGTTGAAAAAAGTATATAACTTTTTGTGTCATTTGTTATTGGCATTTAAAATTGCCGCTAAAAGTTTAAGAAAAGATTTATAATACTCTTTAATTATCTTATTTTTAGTCGATATAGGACTTGTAAGATAAGTGTACAAATACTATTTAGTCACCTTATTTCTAATTGATGTGGGACTTAGAAGATGAAGGTTATCTTCTAAGTATATATTCTTTAATTTTTAATTATCTTATCTCCTAAATACCAACTTAGAATAGTAAATTATAGGTCTAACTCAACCTTATAAAACATACTTGTAAGGTGAGAATTATCATTCACTTATATACTCTTTAATTATTTTATTTCTAGTCGATGTGAGACTTAAGTTTTTTCAAACAAATAATTGTTGTTAATAGTAAATTTTGATGTGATGTAAATACATTTTTAGTGGCTATTATATAATAATCATTAATATTTTTATTAAACAATAAAATAGAGGTAATTAATTTATTGCCATTAAATAATTGTTGGTAATACTAAATTTTGTTGTAGTGTCAACAAAACTGATAATATTCTGTACCAATAATATTATTATAACAAAAATTGATATACTAAACTAAAACATCATATTGACCTAGTTCCATATATTTGGAATCTTTATCATGTCGATTTCAAATATAAATAAATATCTCGATTAATTTTTTTGAGTTGGGTAAGAATTAGGCTAGACATATCCCAACCCACACCTTACTCACCCCTACTTTTATGTGACGTACAACTATTATTGATTTTTTTTCCCTCACACAATGCTTTTTAAGGATAATTCATAATTTTGTAGGAATGAATAGTACATTTAGTCATTTTATATGTGCTAATAATTGAAAAAAAAAATTATTAAAAAATAGAGAAAAATAAATTTGTATTTTCACTACTTTGTATAATATTGGCTTGGACGATTTTAAATCTTAAAATTAGTTTTGATATAATTTTTTATCATGGGTTTGGGTTATGTTTTTTTTTTGTTCGTCTTTGGAGTATCCACCGCCGACAGCAGTGACTAATTTCCTCGCTACGTTGGAGGCACCTCAAAGGGTGGGATAGCTGGCCCCAAGATTTAACGCGGCTGTATACACAAGGCAGGATTCGAACCCCTGACCTTGCTTAAGCGTGGATCAACCCCTACCGCTGAACCACACGCTTGGGGTTGGGTTTGGGTTATGTTTCGGACCATCCCAACTTGTCACTCATTATTTTAAAATGTATAAATTTTTAGAATAATTGTATATCAATAATAAAATACTTTTTTAATAAATAATACTTTATATAACATTATATTATATTTATAATGACATTATTTATTTTAAAATATATATTATAAAAATATTCTTTAATTTATATTTTGTATCTTTTTTATTTTATAATTTAATTATGCATATATTAATATTGTTATACTGAGTTAAAACATTTGATTTACTAGGCCTCATCCCATATATTTCGAGTTAAGATTTAAATAAATAAACTCAATTAATTTTTTAGGTCAGATAAGGACAAGACTAAACCGCTCTCAACCCTTTTTTTTTCACCCCTAGCTAGATGATTGTGGTATTTGGGGGTGACATCATCACTTTTGCCACCACCATTCTTGTTATTGTTAT